CTATCACTACATTTAATAAAAACGGCCTATCCCTACATTTAATAATAACGACATATCCCCACATTTAATAAAAACGACTTATCACTACATTTAATAAAAACGACCTATCCCTACATTTAATAAAAACGACCCATCCCTACATTTAATAAAAACGACATATCACTAAATACTTAATAGCAAATACAACCGGGGTTAAACAATAAACAATGCAGAAGTCCGATGTAGATTCATGTTATACTTGTGATCGATACGATGGCGTTTTCAAAACAACAGTGTGAAACGTGTGGGGGAGTCTTCTATTTTACTTGAATTAAACATTCGTTTTGTACAGGTGTTGTTAATTTGCTAGGGAGGAAATGTCCACCAAATGTGATGAGAGATAGGTATCTAATTTTGTTTTCTAGTCCTGTGGAATTTTTCATTATTGAATGTAAAGTTTAATTAGCATGAGGTTTATGATATACATAGAACCTACTAGTCGACTCTTATTCAGGGATCATATGAGTATAGCAAGGGAGGCTAGCATCGTAATGCTAATGAAATAGGGAGTTAATTAAAAGTAATTAAGCATTAGAAGAAACGCATAACTGTCTGTATGTAATATTGAATTTATTCTCGAACTTTAGGTATTTGTATTATTCAATTTATAAAATGTAGCTATCCGGTAAATGTTTTAATAGTTGACTATTTTTTTTTTACATCTGTATTAGAGGAAACTGAGTTGGGCATTTCATACACTAGACTGTGACTAGACAGACATTAAGTGAGTAATTTAAAATTAGACTCCAGTTGTTAGTAAACGAGAAAGTCAATTTATAGAGTAAAATGTTAGAAGAAGGTCTTAGAATCCATTGATATTTTAACATTTTAAAATGAGAGGAATCACTTAAAATGTTCATTTTGGAAAGTTTTATTTTGTATCATTAGTTACTATATGTGTTTCTTTAAGTTTCAAGTTCTTCAGTGTGCATAATACACTTCCATCATTCAGAGTTATGGACAGTGCATTATTCAGTTTGGACATACATGAATATAACAACTATGAATAATTATAGGTCTTAGAATCAAGTCTTTGACTTAAGTGTTTCAATCAAATCCAAGCCTATCGTGATAGAGTCGGGTATTTGATTCCAATTTTAGAAGCATGTAATAGAATAAAATATTAGACACAAAAGTCATCCAATCAATTTTTGAAACGAGTTTCTAACTTAATTTATTTTGTACGAATTAAAAGTTAGAATAAAAAGTTGGATTCAAACAGAAACAACAGTTATATTCAAATGTATCAATCATAGTAAGTTAGATTGAAGTCATCAAAGTAATGTTAGAAATAAATGTGTACAACATTCAATCACATGACATGGAAGTACACATGTTACCCAGCAGGCACTGTAAAGTCTTGAGCAAACCTCTGATGAATAGGTTTCGTGTCGTTGATCATCAATAATTTCACATCTAATGTGATTACCCGATACATCAAAATACAGTAGACAGTGATAGAATTACAGTGAAATGTCGCAGTGTCAGAACCAGGTATTGTTTTTTGTGCGATAAGCAGTTCGTGTGTACAGTTGTTGGAATTAAGTGAACAGGTAAGCTCATAGTTTGTCTTCCAAGTTTAAATCTTAATTTCCAGTCTCCATCTAATAAATAGCATACGGACAGTTGTCTGAGTCACACATCCATTCGTGCACATTTCGAATTCTGGCAAACGTCCTTTCAGGAAATTGTCGCATGCGGGGGATTGTCAATTTCGACAATCGTCGCATTCGGGCAAACTTCTGTTCAAGAATTTTTTTTTTAGGAGACCCATCTAAATATTTCCAAGTAAAATAAAGTTTTCTTTGACTGTAGAGTTAAGGGTGTATTAGATCGTTAAAACAACAAGCTTTTAAAATTCTTAAAAAATGTAAATGTACTAAAATTTTTAAATTTTCAGTTTAAATTTGGAAAGCTAACATAGGTATTTTTAATACATTGTACTGACCCAATTGAGTAGTCTATATCTAAAGATGAAAAGTAACAATCGACATTAGCACATCGCTGGATTCTTTTAAATCCAAGTGTCTGAGAAGTGTAAAAGACATCCACTGGCCAAAAACCATCTCCAATAAAAAAATTACTAGGAGAAATGCAAATAAAAGCTTATTGAGAAATAATATTACAAAGCAGATGGCACTGAGTTGTTCTGTTTTCGAGGAGTTTCGATGATATCACAGGGTGTGCGCTTATCTGATCACCTCGGGGGGGGGGGGGGGGGGATTAAAACATGGGAAGGCCAAGGGAGATGTGGAGGTGGACACAAAACATGACTAATTTAGACAGGACTATCTTGCCGGACTGCGATGAGAATTGCTAGACCGGCAAAAATGGAAAAAAAACTTCTGTAGATTCTGCATTAGCTATAGACACATTCCCCATGTTATATATTTTAAAACGTTATGTTTTAATTCATTTATTTTAATATTTAGAATATTAATATTTATTTCTGCGTCGAGGGTCGAAATGGTCGGTAAAGTTCATGGTTGCTGAAACGAAAAGTCTCGGGCAGATGAGGCTCGTTAGCTGGGGACAGCCACTCTTCTATGAGAGACAACTCCAAAATCAAACAACTGCTGCCTTGTAGTTTGTTGTTAGTTGGACAAAGGCTATGGAAGCAAATCCAAAACGAAAAGCAGACTGAAATCGAAGTCAACGACCTAAATGGGGCATAACCAGTTGACACAGCGTTGGAGTAAATCCCTTTCAATAGTAAAATTTAGAAGGAAGAATAAAAAGTTTATGTGTCAGCCAAAATATCGGCTCGAGTTCAAACCCTCTGGCAGATAAGACTCGATCCCTTCCAACACTAAAAATTAAGAAGGAAGAATAAACAAATTATGTGTCAGCCAAAATATCGTCTCCCCTGAATACAATTTACATTTTAGCACAGTTACAACAGAGACACCCTCTGTTGGTATCTAAAGATGAGAGCAGCCCTACGCCATATTGTGTGGATGGTGTTCCTGACAACTCAGGGAGTGCACATGGTGGGGAGTGGAAATAAAGGTACATAATCGTGTTGGTGGGGGGTGAAGGGGAAGGGAGGTGGAGGGTGGATGGAGAAAACATACAATACTGTTGTTGTTTGTTCTTGGAAAAATACAGGAAGTATTCCAATTGAATACAATATCAAAGTCAAAATTTTGAAGATCCACGATATTATACATCGCACCTAGAAAAAACAGTATTTCCATCTTGTATGTATGTTTCTTTCTCTATCTCTATATGTGTATCTGCATATTAATGTGCATTTTTATATGTGTTTGTAAACACGATAAGTTGAGTACCAATATTTCAAATATAAGTATAAAAACTAAACGCAAGTTGTTTTTTTTTTAAATCTTTAAGCCTTGCAGTAAAGAAGTGTTCTTATTTTACATCCACTTTCCTAAAAATCTGTGAAATAAAGTAGCTTACTTTTTCAGTTAAGTTGACATAACATTTATAATCTTAATATAAAATCTTTCATGGATAATCTCAATTTCCTTTAACATAGAAATCACACTTTACTCTTTACTCTACATTCTTCACTAAACCGATAATTTAAGTACCGTTTGATGTGAGTGAAATTGAAATGTATTTCGGGTTTACGTATTATTTCGTGCAAGTAGATGTAGTTACATTATGTGCGATTTCTAATAAATGGGAGTAGTATTTTGCACTATTTCTGTATCTCTAGAATCTTTAGATTTAGATCTTTAGCCATATTCTAAGGTATCAACCCTCTTCTTTAAATAGAGAGCGATTTGCAACATTGTATAGCCCTATTACAATTAAAGTGCGAACCAAAACACTTTCTGTTGTAAACAAATGAATAAGTTTAATAGATCTCACTTCTCCTTTATCAATTTAAATAATTTGTTTTACATATATGGTGCATTGCTATGTGTAATAGCACATACTGTTTTCTAATTCAAATAGTCAAAGTGTTACGTGTAGGAATATTTATGAGCATCAGAAATAAATGTAAATAAAAACGCAACCTTCATGCTGCCTATTTTAATTTATTTTTTTTGGACAAGTTATCAAAGAGATTGATACATTACTGATAATTAAAATAATTAGACTCATTTTGGTATTTACTGTTATTACTAAGCAATGCACAACTAAAATATTTATCGTAAAGGCAAATATATACAAAACATTTGAACATTTTTAATTTATTCGCTAGATTGCATACATAGATAACGCATCTAACGCATCCATGAGAAATTAAACATAAATGATACTTTTTTAATGTATTTTGGACTTTTTAATCTAGCATGTAAAGCATTTTCCTATTTAATTAAACGTTGATTTTAGTACAACGTTGCCCTGGTGATGTTAATCAAATCTTCTCCGACCACTGTTACTACGTGAGAGAAACTTTCCAAAGCTGGCAGAGTTCACAGGAGTCTTGTACTAAACTCGGGGCTAACTTGGTCACTTTAGTGTCACAAGCGGAGATCGATTTCTTAAACAAAAGGGTAAACAATAATCACAACTTAGCTTTTAAAGACCTTTGTTTTGATGAGTATGTGATTTGTTTTTATTTCCATGCATTGCTGTTGATAATCATTGCACATTAATAGATATATATATATATATATATATCGATTTCTTAATGCAATTTTAAATAAACACGTTTTTAAAAATATGAATCACCTATATACACACACACGCACACACACACACACATATATATATATATATATATATATATATATATATATATATATATATATATATATATATATATATATATATATTGTTTGAATTTGAAGATGAAATTAAATAGGTGGTGGATTGGTTTGTATAAATCGTCAGACGATCAGACTTGGAAGTAAGTAAAATGTATGACGTATTTTACACTCTTAAATACCTGACTTGGTAGTAATTAAAATTTATGACGTATTTTACACTCTTAAATACCTGAATTGGTAGTAAGTAAAATTTATGACGTATTTTAACCTCTTAAATACCTGACTTGGTAGTAAGTAAAATGTATGACGTATTTTACACTCTTAAATACCTGACTTGGTAGTAAGTAAAATTTATGACGTATTTTACACTCTTAAATACCTGACTTTGTATTAGTATAACAATGGATTGAATAGTAGAACTAGAGTGGTTCTGAATTCATTAAGTCAATGAACATAAACCAAATTTGTGATTTTCAGGTGGGTTGATGGTACAGAGATTACGTTTACTAGATGGACATATGGACAAGGTACTCACCAGCGCGAACACTGTGCCCAGGCTTCCAGAAGTTTTGGTAAAGAATAAACTCATGATTTCATTGTATTATATTTTCAAGAATTAGTAAAGAATACTTTAACTCATGATTTCATTGTATTATATTTTAAGAAGCTATAAATAGTCTATAACGACAATTAAAAACATAATAATATAAAATGTAATTGAAATAAAACTTATTATATTTGAAGATTTCTACACAATAGCATAGTAAAACAACTACAGTATGATTTCCATACTACAAATAATATATCTTTTTTAAAAATAAAAGGTTAAAAGGATTTTGGCTAAAATGTGAATATTAGTTCTATATAAGTTATATGTGCATATTTCAATAACATGTATACCTGACTGTTTTTTTTTTCAGATGAGTGGCATGACTATCCATGCAATGATTCGACAAATTTCTTGTGTAAGATGCCTATAAGGCAAACACGTTGGAGTCGTGTAGAAAAAACAGTAGGTGCGGGCAATAAATCAATTTGCATAAGTAATTAGTGAAAGTGATCGCGTTTTTCAAAAAGTTGAACATAGAATTTAAAATTTGTAAAATCTTAATCGCATTATTAATACGCGATTTTTATTTAAAAAAGTAAAACGAATGGGTTTTTTATATATATATTTTAACTCATACACGAGGTAAAGTTAAAGGATAATAAAATAGACATTGGTAAGTCTAGTAATCATAATGGCCGTTTAAAGGTTACAAGAACATTTTTTTCGTTTACTTAACATTGTAAATTGACAATTATACAAATGACATAATTATATAAAGACATTTAAAATTTAAGTTGGTAACTACAAAATGGATGCCGTTAAGGTTAATTAATATGAATAAAACATTATTTGTATAAAGAAAATTTATAAACGTTAAATCTTTAAATAACTGAATTTGAATGCAGGTATGAAAAACATTTAAATACTAATTCGGTAAATATATATATATATATATATATATATATATATATATATATATATATATATATATATATATATTTATTTATTATTTATTTTTTTTTTGTGTGTGTGGGTGGGTGTGTTTGCATACATTTAAATACATTTTGATAGTTTGTTGTCTCATTTCACCTGAAGGAAATACATATTTCAACGTCGTGATGACTTCTTGTCACAAAAACAATATAAATGATGGGCTTTTGCTACCAACGCTTGCCTCTTTAGTTATCTCCATCTCCTTGAAATGAGGTGAATATTTATATTTATATTTATAACTATTAACAATCTCTATTGTGTATATGTTGTTTATTTATTAACATCATATCTCTTAGCTCCGCAATCGAATGACAAACAACAAAGACAAAGATCTAAATTCATTCGTTTTCAACAAAGATGTGCTGATGTTTCTTTTTCTTTTAATTTTAAAGTTTTGTTAGATTTGTTTTTACTTAACGTAAATAACTTTTTTTTATTGACAATATATATACAAAAATTCTATAAATAATAAAATACTAAAGCTGTAATGGAGCTTTTATTGATTATAGGTTTGTTTATCGAACTTGTTTAATTTGTATCCAGATAATAAAAATGCAAAAGAAAAAATTACAATTACCATAACACACATGATGCTAGCAATTTTTAATTTATACGAAAAATAATTTTAATAAAGTCATTTAAATGTTTTTGACAACACTAGGTATTGGGACTTCGCTTTATAACTACACTAAGTGAAAGGACTTCGCTTTATGGCTTTACTAGGTGATGGGACTTCGCTTTATGACAACACTAGGTGATGGGACTTCGCTTTATGACAACACTAGGTGATGGGACTTCGCTTTATGACAACACTAGGTGATGGGACTTCGCTTTATGACAACACTAGGTGATGGGACTTCGTTTTTGAAGTGACAACTGTCTTTATGTATCATTAAAGGGAGGAAATTATCTTAAACAGCGATTTAAAAAAATGTTAACTATATTATTCAATTTGTTGGTTATTTTTTTAAATGTTTTTAAACACAAATTAGATATATTGTTCTTAATCAAATGTGTAAACGAAATGTTTGAATGGTGCGAAGAAATTTCGTTTATTTTACAACATGAACATAGAAATCCACCCCCACCCCCCCCCCCCCCACACACACACACATCCACCCTCACACACCAAAATAGTATCCCCTTGTTTACAATATATCAATTTAATCCAGCAGGACATTGGTTCTGTATGACAAAAAAGTCAGTTAATATGTTTTTTCTTAATGTAGCGTATTTGCTACAGGTAGTTTTCTTTTAGTATTCTTGCACTACCTTTTTAATGCAACAGTTATAATTATATTTATTTTTATGTGTAAGGCTAATTAAAAAACGAAAAGGAAAAAAAGGAAAATTCTGATCATTTAAATTTTGCAAAACAAACAATTTTTTTAAGTATTAAAATCAATAAAATTGAGTCAAATATTATGAGCAAACGTATATAACACAGAGCCAATCGCGATAGAAAAAAAATTGGAAAAGTTTACATATTATATTTGATGTAAACGTATTCTGGATTATGTTTATTATCGAAAGTATTGTAACTATGACAATAATCCGTCCAAATAAAGAACTTTTCAATAATGTTCGTACATTAATCACCTAGTCACATTCAGAATAAGGGGTCATCCATAAATGACGTCACGCCTTTTTTGACGATTTTTACCCCCCCCCCCCCCCCTCTCTCCCCTCCGTCACACGTCGTCACAAAAATCCAGAAAAAAAAAATTAAAATATATATATATATATATATATATATATATATATATATATATATATATATATATATATATATATATATATATATATATATATATATATATGTATATATAGGCCTATATATATATATATATATATAGCTTGTGGCAAATACAAGCAGCGATAAAACATCGTGTATAACTGTAGTTGGAACTATCTTTCAAGACACAATGTGGATTCATGTTTTACCTGTTATCGATACAATGACCTTTGGAAAATAAGACTGAGAGGTGGATGAGGCAGGATTGTGTTCTAATTGAATTAATCATTCCTTTTGAACCGGTGTCGTTTTTTTTAGCTAGAGAGGAAACAAGTGAAAGATCCGTATCAATTTGTGTTTTTCTTGACGTGAAGGAATCTCTCATTGTTGAATGTAAAGTTCAAATAGCGTGAGCTTACACCGTCCTTAACAATCGACTTTCTTTCAATTTGCGAATAAGTATAGAAAGAGAGGCAAGACTTGTAAAGTAACATTAATTCAACAGTCAGTTGTTTCAATAAGTTGCAAATTCGCGTAACTGCCAGTATGTAAATTTTTTGTTAATTGTTAAAATTTAGAATTTTTATACAATTCAATTTATTTGATTTAGCTTTTAGCTATTTTTTATTGACTTCTTGTTTTAAACATGTACGGAAAATATTAGGTGAGTAATTTAACATTACAATCAAATTGTTAGAAAAAGTATTAGTCACATTTTATAATCAAATGCTAAAAACTGATAAAAGTCAAATGATGGATTCAAATGCTAGAAATAGGTCTAAGAAGCAAGTCTTTGAGTGAAGTGTTAAAATTAAAGGTTTATATGTCGTAATAGAGTCGGGGTTCAAAATTTTGAATTCACTGCTAGAATTATATTTTAGAATTACATCATAGAACAAAATATGAGAAACAAAAGTCATACTATCAGTTGCTAAGAAATGCTTTATTGATTAGATTTAATGTGTGATAACAAAAAAAAATTTAATTAAATAAAACATTAGGGCCAAACATATCATGGATATGTTAGGATCAATTAAGTAAAGTAAAGAATCCTCTTTAGACCTATCGATCCATTAAGCAAATGAAGTAGAGTTCATATGTTTCCTGACCTCGGCATAAAAAGGCTTTTATCGTATATCCTACTGTATATCCTAAAGTAAAATAAAGCTTGCTAGGAAAATATGTTTGTGACAATTAGAATAATCATCTTGGACATATATCTAAATGGAAAATACACATTCGATAAAACGGAAATTCTATTCTCTAGTTAAATAATAAAACAGGCTATGTTTTACTCTAGCACTGGTGTTTTGTTTACAAGCTTTTGCTCACTAGTGTGTATGGAAACTTCTCCAACATAACACGCGACACACAGCGACACACATTGACACACAACGACACACAAAGACACACAGAGACACACATTGACACACAGAGACACACAGCGACACACATCGATACACAACGACACACATCGATACACAACGACACACATCGATACACAACGACACACAACGATACACAACGACACACAACGACACACAGAGACACACAGCGACACACGTCGACACACGTCGACACACAGCAACACACAACGACACACAACGACACACGGCGACACAGAGCAACACACGGTGACACCCTGCGTTGGTATCTAAAGATGAGAGCAGCCCTACGCCATATTGTGTGGATTGTGTTCCTGACAACTCTGGGAGTGCACATGGTGGGGAGCGGAAATAAAGGTACCTAATCTTTTGGAAGGGGGGGGGGGGGTTAAACATATTATTTTGAGCACATAAGAAGTATTGTAATCGAGTCGAAATAAAGGTACATAAGCTTGTTGGGAGGGGGGTTAACATCTTAATCTGAGCGTACAGGAAGTATTGTAATCGAGCACATTATAAAAATTGAAATTTTGAAAACGCTACATATTCGAGATTTACATCAATCCGAGTCGGAAAGAAAAGTATTTCCATCGTGTGTGTATGTTTATTTTTCTTTCCGTCTATGTGTGTGTGTGTGTGTGTGTGTATACGTGCGGAGGGGGATGGGGTGTTTATAAACTCAATAACTTTAGTACACAAATTTCGAATATAGGTTTTCGGTTCTTATCGTTAGTTTCCTTTAACTTATAACTTTTCAGTAACAATCGTAAAAAAACAATGTAAATGTTTATTTCTATATTATGCAACAAGTGACAAGTGGATATAACCCACGATGCTACTACAAGGGGATATAACCCACGATGCTAAGCTAAGGGGATATAACCCACGATGCTACACCAAGGGGATATAAAACATGCTGTACTACCAAAACGCGTTTCACAGCGGTATTACAAGTCAGGCCTCCAAACTAACAACACTGACTGTGTCACAAAACTGACAACACTGACTGTGTCACACAAACTGACAACACTGACTGTGTCACACAAACTGACAACACTGACTGTGTCACACAAACTGACAACACTGACTGTGTCACACAAACTGACAACACTGACTGTGTCACACAAACTGACAACACTGACTGTGTCACACAAACTGACACTGACTGTGTCACACAAACTGACAACACTGACTGTGTCATACAAACTGACAACACTGACTGTGTCACACAAACTGACAACACTGACTGTGTCACACAAACTGACACTGACTGTGTCACACAAACTAACAACACTGACTGTGTCACACAAACTAACAACACTGACTGTGTCACACAAACTGGCAACACTGACTGTGTCACACAAACTGACAACACTGACTGTGTCACACAAACTGACAACACTGACTGTGTCACGCAAACTGACAACACTGACTGTGTCACACAAACTGACAACACTGACTGTGTCACACAAACTGACAACACTGACTGTGTCACACAAACTGACAACACTGACTGTCACACAAACTGACAACACTGACTGTGTCACACAAACTGTCAACACTGTGTCACACAAATTGTCAACACTGTGTCACACAAACTAACAACACTGACTGTGTCACACAAACTGACAACACTGACTGTGTCACACAAACTGTCAACACTGTGTCACACAAACTGTCAACACTGTGTCACACAAACTGACAACACTGACTGTGTCACACAAACTGACAACACTGACTGTGTCACACAAACTGACAACACTGACTGTGTCACACAAACTGACAACACTGACTGTGTCACACAAACTGACAACACTGACTGTGTCACACAAACTGACAACACTGACTGTGTCACACAAACTGACAACACTGACTGTGTCACACAAACTGACAACACTGACTGTGTCACACAAACTGACAACACTGTGTCACACAATACTGACTGTGTCACACAAAATGACAACACTGACTGTGTCACACAAACTGACAACACTGACTGTGTCACACAAACTGACAACACTGACTGTGTCACACAAACTGTCAACACTGACTGTGTCACACAAACTGACAACACTGACTGTGTCACACAAACGTAACAACACTGACTGTGTCACACGAATTGACAACACTGACTGTGTCACACAAACTGACAACACTGTGTCACTCAAACTGACAACACTGTGTCACACAAACTGACAACACTGACTGTGTCACACGAACTGACAACACTGACTGTGTCACACAAACTGACATCACTGTGTCACACAAACTGACAACACTGACTGGGTCACACAAACTGACATCACTGTGTCACACAAACTGACAACACTGACTGTGTCACACGAACTGACAACACTGACTGTGTCACACAAACTGACATCACTGTGTCACACAAACTGACAACACTGACTGGGTCACACAAACTGACAACACTCAGTCAAACAAAAATAAAACCGGCCTCCGTTGGAATATGATTTAAATGATAAACATCGTTACCAAGTTATCATTGTGAATAAAGCAAATATTGACAGTTCCTTCTTATGTAGACATT